CGCTCGGCGGCGCGAGCTGGACCGGGGTGGGGATTCCTGTCTGGGGCCCCTGGGGCTCCTTTAAGGGCTCCTGGGTAAATTTAAAGGGGCCGCGCGCTATTTCCTCCTGCCAGCTCGCGGGGGGCTCCGGGGAAGAGGCGGGAGGCGCCGAGCCCGGCCGAGGCTCCGCAGCTCGCGTCCGCCGCGGCTGCCAGGATCGCCGACCTGGCCGCCCTCGCGGGTCCGCACTGCCGCTTCTGGGGCTCCGGTCCCCGCTCCCGAAGGGTCGCCGAGGTAGCTGGGGGCGCCTGGGTCCTCAGCGACGCGCTCCCACCCAGGCTCGGCGCGCAGCCACCGCCCCCTCGGGGCATCTCAGCGCCCGGCTCCCCGCACCGCGCAGGCGGGGGAGCGCCTGGTGCAGAGCCGGAGCGGCCAGATCACCGCCACGGCTCCCTCCTGCGCGAGCGGGACGCGAGCTCGGCGCGGGCCCCGGAGCGGACGCGACTGGCTGGGGCCCCAGCTGGCTGCGCCCCGCCGAGAGGGTGGAGCCGCGGGGGCGGCCGCACCCCCTCCCGCGGGAGCCGCCCGGCGGCGCGGGGAGCTCGGCTTCTCCATTGGAGGGGCGGACGGGCGAGGTTCCGGGAGCCGGCCGGAGGCAAGGGCCGCAGCCGCGGGAACTCGGCTGGCGAGAGGGGGCTGCGCCGGAGCCCGGCGCTGCGAAGCAAGGTGGCCCCGGGCTAGAAGCTCGGAGGATGGGCGTGCGCGGCGGTGACTCAGGCTCCTGCACCCGCAGGCCTGGGGGTGCCAGGCGAGGCCCTTGGCGCAGCCCCAGAACCCCGACAAAGAACACTGGCCTCCACCGGGTATCGGGCACCCGGGACGCGTGCCACCACGACCGGGAAGCCTCGGGGTGACGCGGGGCCCCCAGCCTCTGCGAAGCGGCGAGGAAGGGACCCCCTCGCGGCAGCTGGGGACGCGGAACGGCTGGCGGAACAGGTGCTGGCCGTGCCTGCGGTTGGTCGCCCACAACAAAGGCAATTCCTGGAGGTCCAAATTACAGGGTGCGGGAGGCCGCGCAGGTCCTGGTATCCAGAGGAGGGGTCTGTTCTCTTCACTGGCGAGGTGCGCAGCAGTCGGTTGACAAGTCACTCGGCACCTACTGTGTGCCCGCATTCTCTCAGGCACTGGGCTACAGCGGCGAACCAACAGACGAGCCTGAACGGCTCATAAAAAGGAGACCATCGCAGCCCTTCGGGAGTCATGGGAAATAGTAAATTACTTGGAACACAGGAAACCTGTCCCCGAGGTGTTTATGAGGAGGGGACAGGAACTAAGATTTCTTAAGTGCTTAATGGTGTATGTCACCTTGGGAGATGTTTTCCCTTGTCCTCTTCGGTCCTCAGGATGACCTGTGAAAGACATCCTCCTGGGAAACAGTGGCGGGACTCCCAGCTGTGCTGTGTCTACTGCTCTCAGGGAGGAGGTACCGTTCCTCTCCCTGGGGCCACAGGCACCGGTGCAGAAGGTGGAGTGCCCTGGGGCTTGTAACCAGCGCCAAGATGTGGGTGATTCTGTGGTCACCTGGACAGGATCAGTGACTCAAAGGGAAAATAAGATGCAGACCTGGCCTGGCCTTCATATGCTTTTTAGTGTGGTGGGTTTTTTGTTGGTGGCTGTTTTTGTTTTTTTTTAAAAAATAAAAACCCACACAAGGCTAAAGGAGCCACATAACCTACCGTGATGGAAGACTTCTTTGCCCCGAGGTCACCTTCAAGTCTTAAACCAAAAACATCTCCTGAAGTCTTCTTAAAAACAAACAACAGTCTGCCTGGAGCACTGACCTCTTTAAAAACTACAAGGGATCAAAGTGCCAACAGCTACTCAAAAGGTTAGATAGGAAACTTGAGGGGCAGAGAGTTTATGTTCATGGGAGAGTGGCGAAGGTGAAAATGGTTGCCCAGCTGAAAGACTGTAACAATGTCACTGTTGAATTGGTGCACATTTTGCTGTGTCTATTCTCAGTAACAACAGTGAGGGGGACTCACACTGTCATGAGTTTCTCATTGACAAAGACATCCATGCTCCAGACGGTCTCTGTGAGACGCTTTGGTGCCGAACCTTCCATACTTTCTCTGTGTGTAGATGCTGTCAGCTGCTGTCACGTGGGCCGGAACTCAAGGCAATCCCACGCACAGTGGAGCAAGGCCGCCCCAGCCTGCAACATCCCCACGACTGCTGCCAGATTGGATCTTCTGGCTTTCAGAAGCAGATCGCCAGGCCTTTCTTGTTGGTCTTAGTCTGGAAGCTCTGCTGAAGCCTGTTCAGAATCACAGCGTCTCACAGGCCTCCGCTGACAGATGGGTGGTGGCCATGCGTAAGTGGCGGTGGCAGGACTAGAACCCAGGTCTCCTGAACAGCAGGCAGGAATTCTACCAGTGAACCACCGATGCCCTCACGTGTGTATAAATAGGAGACATTTCTGTGTCATCAAAAGAAAGGCACCAGAGTCACCTGCATCTGTCTTTATGACCCTGCCCTCCTCTCCCCCGGCCAGCTCAGCCTCAGGAATGGCCCAGAGCGCCTCACTGCCCAAGCTTTCCTCATTCAGGCCTCTCAGTAACTGTGAAGCAGGAGTTTCACTGTTGAGATGAAGACCTAGTGACTCAGAGAGTCGAGTGTCTCACCCAAGGCCATTCATTCACCCATTCACCTGCTCATCTCCATCAGCAAGCACTTCCTGACCTGGACCTGACCACCAGGTGCCAG